GTGAATGTTACCGAAAAACATTCATTAAAGGCACCAAATAATATAAAATTCCAGTTTTGAATGACACTCAAGTTTTGGAAGTCAACCAACTTTGGCAGCCTTAATTTTACCTTTCATTTCAGCCGATCCCCACCTCTTTCAATCGCAAATACCTTGACTTCTATTCTAGATAGATGGGTTGTTGTTTTTTTTGCTAAATGCAAGAAAAACGAACAAGCTTTAAGATGACTTTAATAACTCTATGTGCCCCAAAAATTTGACGAGTACCTGATTCCACCGCGTCGTGACACCTTTTTAGATTTAAGGCCTCTGCTATTGAATGAGAGTCATTACAGGCCATCTGAGGGGGAAAAGCGTCTGTTACGTTCAGATGGCTCTAACCTTAGCGGTCAGTAACCCCACCTTAGTGAAGGAAAAAGGTAATATTATTAAATAATTAAGCCTAAATCAGAAAGTTATAACCGTAGTCATTCTGAACTCTCACTTCGTGAGCCACATTGTTTCTGTCAAGCTTCCGACCCGACTACAACTCGTCTCCAGGGAGCGAGGCAGAAAGAGAGAGAAGAGAAGAGAAAACAGACAGACAGACAGACAGACAGGCAGACAGACAGACAGTAAGACAGACAGACAGACATACAAACAGACAGATAGACAGAGACAGAGAGACAGACACACACAGAGACAGAGGGAGAGAGAGAGAGAGGGAGAGAGAGAGAGAGAGAGAGAGAGAGAGAGGGAGAGAGAGAGAGATGGGGAGGGTTAGCAGAAAAAGAGTCTCGAAGTCCTGAATAAACTCCTATTGATTATCAGTGCATCTGATATCGGGCAGACGTTATTATTTTATGACTACCGTTACGGTAAATGGTATACGTAAACCATTGACGGTCTTTAATTGATGTACTGCATACTGCTTCGTCATCAGCAAAACTAAGTCGGGTGGCGTTTTGACGAAGTCGGACAGACATTGGATGAGACATTGGACGAAAACGTTTCTTTTTGTTTTTGTTTTCGACAGATTCAGATGCTGGAGAGCATTCTATCAGACCTAGCCCCGTAGCCCGTAGACACATGCACACCAAAGACGTGTACTAGGAAAGAACATTCAAAACAGGTTGCTGTGCCGAATTTCATCCCTACGTCATTCATTTTCAACTTTTGTTGGTTGACCGCAGCGTCCTCAATGTTTGTACAAATGAGGTTATTATTTTAGAGAAACTAGGTGGTCTTCTGTGCGCTGTATAGACAACCAGCTTTCACTAATCCCCAACTGGGTTTGTTTGTTTGTTGTTGTTTTTGTTGTTGTTGTTGTTGTTTCTTTCTTGCTCTCTTTCTTTCTTTCTTTCTTTGTAACTGTGTTTTGTTTTGTTTTGTTTTTGTTGGGGGGTTTTCTTACACCTTGCTACCCCAGACGCATTAAAGCCCATAATATGTTTCAGGTGACACTCTACACTACCAGCTGTTACCCCCTAAAAAGCCGATGAGTATAAACTTGTTATGTTAATGGCTCTAGGGCTATTCCACGGTGACTGACGGGACATTTGGACCATGAAGAACATTTAAAAAACATAATATTATGTCTTAATATTAGTAAGAATCATATTAAATGCAGACATTTGAAAAGAAAGTATTTAATGCTAAATCTGTGACAGTATTAAAGTTTCGGTAACTGACGGGACAAGGGGTGTATTTTTTCTGTCCCGTCAGCTACACAAAATAAATACGTCACAGAATTTGAATGAAGTACTTTCTTTTTCAAATAACTGTATTTGATATGATTCTTGGTATGTCTTTGGCGGGGGGGGGGGGGGTAAATGCTTTACGCGCTCGCAACTGCCTAACGCCATTTGAGCGCGCGGGACATATTAAACATTTTTAGTTTGGTAGGAATTAATTTTGAATTTAGCCCTGAGGGCGGTCGAAGCAAACTCTTATCGATTTTGACCAACAAGGAATCTTTGAAGTGCGTAACCTGCATACGGGACCTCCGAAATTTTTCGCCCTTATCCGAGAAGGCTATGGGTTAGATCTTACCTACCATAAGATCAGGGGTGTTGCTGAAAGACAGCAGTAAGAAGGAGTCAAGTAGTAGAAGTAGAAAGGCTGCAGAAAGACTCAGGAATCCAGAAGAGGGAACAAAGGAGGTGAGGGGTAGGGGCAGAAAGTGGAGACGAAAGGAGACGACAAAAAATTACTAGTGAGCAGGAAAGGAAGCAAAAGGAGAACATATTAGAGAAGAAAAGTTTAAGTCACTGTCAGGATTCAAACCCAGGATCTATTGAATAAGAGGTAAACGATGTTACCTATCGACCACGAGAGCCCCCTGATATGTCTTTCAAATGTATGTTCTGGTCGTTTAAAGTTGAAATATATTAATTGTTATTGAATTTCAGTATTATCATTGTAAGAATGTACAGTGCAAATGTCATGTCAGTAACCGTGGAATAGAAACAGTGTTACGACGAGAAAGGAGAGTACATGGGAGAAACACAGTGAGAAGTGGATAAATGCCCCCAGGTCTAATGCAAGGACACATTATGAAAGACGTTTCTGTTCCCACAGTCTGAAGGCACCAAAACAAACTATTATGGTTTTTGACATATCTGACATATATCCTTCTAGATCACCTTAAAAAAACACAACAAAAATAAGATAGCAAACAATAAACAGACTGTTACGACGACTGCTGCTAAGAACAGTATTTTGATAAAATGTAATGCAAAAATTCGTTTCGACTCACAGCTCTACCGAGACTGTCTCAAGCCAGGCAGTGAAAGGGTTACACTATCTGACATCAGTACCCACTAGGTGCTGAAAGAGATGTTCCCTGAGTCAGTGAAATAAAAACGACCTCTGCACTCATAAAAACGGTGAAACTGTTGAGAAAAGAAAATCTTGTCGAGGATTCGGTCCTCAGCGGTTTGTTGTTGTTTCCCTTTTGGGGTCTGATTTTAGAAGTTGTAAGGGAAGCATCGCCAGTCCAGGTGTTGTTTTTATCTAGCGCAGAATTATTCTAACTTCTGCACATAAAACTTTGGACAAATTAAATGATAGTTACGTTTTCAAGTGTAAACGTCTTTATTGATACGTACAATGGCAATCGCCGTACGTCGTGTTTTACTATCCTATCCTTACGACGTGGGGAACTCTGTGCCCCACTTTCCAAAGAGGAAATTTACTCGTTAATCAGATCCGTACGCTTTGCATAGCAGTCTGTCAAAATGATTTTATGAGAAATACTGAAAGTTTCAAAGAGATCTTCGTTCTAGAAGTATTCTAAAATGTGGAGAATACAACCCCGATGATACCAATTAATGACCTCAGAGCGTACGGACAGGGTTAATGTTTGTCACTTCTACAGCCGTGAAGGCTTGTTCCATGCAAGGTTCCCCATTTTATTCAAAGCCGAGAGAAGGTAGTATGTACGAGTGTCTCAAACCTCCAATAATTTCTGTAACATCGTATGCTGAAATTGCAGTTGACAGCAGAGAGAAATCATCATTTTGGTTTAACCTTTCATTGTAAAAAGAATGATCTTCGGGGAGCTTACAGCGTTTGACTCTTATCTCTATCCCTTTTGTTTGTTTGGGTTTTGTTTGTTTATTGTGTTGAATTTTGTTGTTGTTGTTCATTTGTTCGTTTGTATTTTGTACTGCAGTTAGTTAACCAGACACTGACTGACCGAGGTCCCTCGCACTAAGCCAGTTGCTGACTTGCTATATCGATATTATGGTTGTTTTACTAAAAGTGTCAACGGCAGACAAAACAAAATCTTCAAAACTTTAGTAAGTTATAAATGATTACCTTCTCTTTGAAAAGATAGCAGTAGGACGCCATAATTACAGCAAATTTTTGCTTCAGTCGTCTCAGTTTAGCTGACTTCACACACTGTGCGGAGGCCTTGCGATAAAATCTTCTTACGTGGCGACTCATCCTGACCAAGACTTTTCACTTCTCAACCCTCACATCACTCCTGGTGTAACCCTAGGGAGCGATCTCCAGAAGATTTATATTTTTCATCAGATAAATGCATTTCTTGGATCCCTATTTTCGCCCTCTCTTGAGTCGAAAACATTCGTCATCATCATCATCATCATCATCATCACCATCATCATCATCATCATCATCATCATCATCATCATCATCATCATCATCATCATAATCATCATCATCATCAAGCGTCAGACATCGGCGATCATGGTCTCTATTCATTACTTTGCTCAGATGCTCTTCAGCTACGTTACCCTGATCTTTCCCTGTTACCCATCACACTGTTTATGTTCTCTAAGTAGGTTGCGCTGGGCCTACCCCTGCCTCGTTTGCCTTCAGTTTTGCCAGTGAGAGCAAGATCTTCAAGACCTTTATGCCTGTTCAGATGTCCTTAAAAACTGCATTTGTCCTTTCCTGATTGCTTTTAACAGTGAGCGTCCCACGCGGACTTTATCAACACTCGCTGCGGTTAAAATAGGCATTAACACGACATCCAGAACATCATCACTTCCTTCACTATACCAAGTATAATTTGAGCTATGTGCCACTGCTCCTTAAACGATCTAACAAAAGGAGCATGACGTGGGTTAATTTTGAGAGCTTCTGACAGAGATATTTGAGGTATATTAAACTGAGTGCGCTCAATTGTGATCCGCGTAGCAGAAAAAGCTTCAGGATGACAGTTTTAGTGAACTGTAAATCAGAATCACTAAATGTTGTAAATGACCCATAAGTCAGTCAATATCTTTCACTAGGTGACTTGGTCCCAAGAAACACATCAACAAGCTTCGACGTAAATTGTTCAGTGATAATATTACATTTTTAAAAAGGCGTCGGTCAGGTATCTCGAAATCCTCATTAGCATTCAGAAGTATCCGGCAGCTAACTGTTTCTGAAACATATCGACCATGGTGTGGGGAACATTTTGATTATTTTCTTGTTTTCAATTTTCTAATATCAACTTACACAAAATTCAATTATGTAGTATAATACAAAGCAAAATTCAAGATCAGTCATAGTTTTGCAGCTTTATTCAATGTCACTTTTCGCTTCAAACATTTTAAAAAGATCTCTTTAAGGGGTTGATTTTTTAAGTTCTTTTTTAGTTTTTAAGGCTAAATTGCTGTGTATCGAAAAAGACGAAATCGGCACCGACGGTAACGTTGTTGACTGACCACCCACCACTGCTCAGGTCGACTGCGTCAATCTGGGCCATGTTGGTCATCAAGAGATTGTCTACGCCCACGTACAATGTGGGGTAACCGCCGGAGTTGTAGCTGGGGACACAAACGGTTCAGGATGTTGAAGAACGGGGTGCAAAACATACATAGATAATGGGTGAGACAGATGACTCAATAAAATGAAAAGGCAGAAGAACCTGAATAGAACAAGTAATAGCAAAACAGAACAAAAAGGAGCAAAAAAGAAAACGAAAAACACGTAACGTCAAAACAAAGAAAAAACCTACCTTGATGACATGAACAGACACTCACGCCCATCACGTACCACATCAAGTGCTTATACTCACCCAGAGAAAGTCCTGATCAGGTCAAATCCAGTGAGAACAACCTGGGAGAACTGCGGGGTGCCGTTAAAGGGGAAGTTCACGTTCTGGCTGGGGTTGTCACCGTTAGGATCGAGGACCAGGGAAGTCTCAGTGGCTGGGAAGTTAAGAGTGAATGAAGAAATCTTGTAATATTGCATTTCAAAAAAGAGAAAAGTTACCTACGACTCTGGTAAACATAGTAACCTCCCTTCCCTAAATACATACACACATAAACATACAGAAATACACACTATTTAGGAATTATTTGTGACGTGGAATGTCTGTGTGCTTCCCGCTGTTGATCAGATAGCTCATTGAACTAATGGGCAATGAGTGGGTAGAACTCTAGTCGATCGCAAATGTTAGTTTCTATCATTACTGAGGAATTCTTGTTTTAAGTCAGTACGGTGGTCTTTTTGGTCTCTGTTTCTTTCGCAAAAAGTGTTATTAGGAGGGGGAAAAAACGAAGCGACGCTGAGGCCGGGGCACCTGTTGAGATGAAAGTTTGTCTTCCAGTTGCCAGGCGTCGTATCTTCCAAGCATAACACCTGTTAGCAAAAATGATAATTTTTTAGGAAGGTGATACTAAGAACTGTTGATACCGAAGATGTGTGGTGGGGACTCTTTGGTTCTCAAAGGAATCCCAACATCGAATGACTTCTTTTCTGACCAGTAGAACCGTCCTTCAAGCTAACGATTTTAACAAATTCAGATAAAACATCTGCACTACGCTCTAAAAAGTCGTCTATGAGAAGACAATAGAAGTAGAAGAGGCTTCATGGGGTAGAGTGGCGGAGGAAGAGGGGAATACTAACATTGTTGGCTGTTGAGGGAAATGATGGCTTTGCGGGTTGCAAGCTTGATGCTGTTCAGGTCGCGAGTGTTGCCCCAAGCCTTCTCGAACAGGTTGTCGATTCTCTCGTTAATGGCGTTGGCCTGAAGAAAACGATAACAAGTGGCTACATTATTATTAGGAATAATGGTATGTTGATGTTCGAAAAAAAGCTTCTTTAAAAAAAAAGAAAAATCGTCAAATTCAGGAAAAGGTGAAAAGGGGGGTGGGTGGGTGGAGGAAAAGAGAGAGAGAGAGAGAGAGAGAGAGAGAGAGAGAGAGACAGCGACAGAGAGAGAGAGAGAGAGAGACAGACAGACAGACAGACAGACAGACAGAAGCAGATATAGACAGACAGAGAGAGAGGCAGACAGACGGAGATAGATATATAAAGAGAGGCAGATAGACGAAAAAAGACAGAGACCAGTAACAAGTATGAACAAGCTGAACAACTGTCAGAGAAGGAGCACATACTATAATAAAGACAAACAATGGATGAGAAATTGAGAACGGATCAAATAACAAATGGTAAATAATGACTTGGAATTCTCTTAATAATAATAATAATGATAATAATAATAATAATAATAATAATAATAATGGCATTTATATAGCGCATATCAATGCTCAAGAGCATGCTCTATGCGCTTTACAACTATTATTACCCCAGCAGACCCTCTGAGAACACTCAGAAACATTCTCGGCTTCCGCGGAAGCATACAGTGCAAGCTGCGGATTTCACGCGCTAAAACACTATCAAACTGACAAGATCGTTCACTGTCTATAGTTGGGTACCCATTTTCACCTGGGTGAAGTGAGGAAAATTTGTGCAAAGTGCCTTTCTCAAGGACACAACGTCGGGCCCCTGACGGGATTCGAACCCACGACCTTACGGTTGCGAGTCCGAGAGCCTAACCACTAGGCCACCGACGCCACACTCTTGCACTCAAGGACATAAACATTGACAGACATATTACGCATACTACGAGTACGAGTAACCTATCCCTTTCGAGGAGTGATAGTGTTTCAGACAGCCACTGTTTCCTTTGTTTTAAGTTCGGCATTGGGGACTCTTGTCCCGAGTACAGTTGCTCACCAATTTCTTTCTTTTTGGGAACCCTTTTTCCATGGACCATGTAAGCGTATCTCAAAAACAAAAAAAACAACAAAAAAAAAAAGAAAATTTAAAAACCGGTACGCCCAATCAGTTAGATGAAGCGTAATATAAGAAAAATTATGTATGTTCCCAATTCCCTTACCCTGGTCTGAGCCTCTTCGATCTTGTTCATGCGCTCAATGTCGGCGTTCTGCAGGTCACTGATGTCATACATGATCTGTTTGCGGGCGGGGTAGATCGAGTTTTGGAGAGCGGCCTCCAGGGCTGCAGCGTCACCCTTCAGAGTCGCAACTTGTTCCTTCAGAGCGTTCAGCGCAGCGACCTGGGGATAGGATTGTTTGCGTGGGATTTGGTATAACACTATTTAACTTCAATTAAGATGAAAATAAGTTCGAACGGGTAAATAAAGAAGGAAAGGAGGGAGAAATGAAGTTTATAATTCGTCCCTTTTTCCCTTTTCCTTTCACATAAAATAAATGTTTCGAATGCAGGATTGTATTCCAGTAAACAGAATGCGGTAAGACTATCCGCACAATGACAAGGAAGATACACCTACGTGCACGCACACATGCATTGTGATATTCTTTTTTGTTCATTTGCTTTGGTTGGAGATTATCGTCATAATATGACACCGTTTTCAATGCTGAGTACTTGATTTAGAAGTCTGAGCGTTTAATGAACAAGAAGTCTGAACAAATAGCGGAAAGATGCATTAATGTACGTTTCGCACGGGTCTTCTAAGCGTAGATGTTCCGATCCTGTGTTTTCTTTGGTCAAATTTGTAATCTAACAAACATACGTGGCTTTCCCGAAAGGTGGGTTCTAGATCCTGTGTTAAATGGGAAATAAAAGAAGAAAGGAAAAAAGACCCAGAATATACAAACTGCTGTATAACTCTTACAGGTTTTCACTAGTGTTGTTAGCTATTTCATCTTCGCAACGACATTATCGACAGTGGTAAGTAGCAGGGCTATGAGATATAATTTTTAACTTGTATTCCATTACATTGTTCAGCCTTTTTTTCCCATGTTATAACCTATTCCCTAATCCTCATGACTCTACCTTCTCTTGCAGTTCACTCAGACGTTGTCCCTGGATCTTCTGACGGTCAGCGATCTGGACAGAGAGAGTGTTCTGGAACAGGTTCTGGAAGTCACGGTTCTTGTTGGCGGATGCACTCAGTTGAGCCAGTCTGGACAGCTGGGAAGCTTCACGGGCCTCCAGATCTACCATGAAGGCGAAAAAAACAAATGTGTAGTTATCTTATGCATTAGATATGCATTGCTCAGGAAGAATTAAGTAGCTAAAAATGAACTATGATAAAAAATTAATTATAAAGAGCAACAGCATTAACCACCTAAAAGTCAAAACTGTTTTACATATTATTTAAATGAAAATCTTTTGAAATGTCTTTTCCTGTTTCTTCTAACAGCACTTGTGTTGGTTGTTTTTTTTCCACAAAAAGAACAGATGTTTTGATGATATCATATATCACTGATATCCTATCCGACTGCATGCTGGTATTAATTGTCTATCTGTAAAGCGATTTGAAAGAATGCACACGGCTTTAAGTCTAAAAAGTAACTTTTAGCTTGCACCTATTATTAAAAGAGTTACCCACTTTAAATGAAATCATGAAGTTTTACTAGAAGTTTTACTCACTATCGACGTATCTGTTCAGTCTCCCCAGAAAGGGGTCCACCAAGACGCTGAAGGAAAAAAAGAAACAAACTTTGCTGAGGGCTGTAGAGTTTGTGTCACGTGTGTTTATTTATTCGAAACCTAGAAAAGAGAACTTGAAAGATACACCTGAGAGCGAGACTCAAATCTCGTGGGGATGGATAATTCCCTTTCCTTCTTGAATATATCCACTAAGCCGACCAATATTCTCTTACGGAAATCAAGTGTTTACTTTCGACGTAACTATGGTAGCATGCTACCATTTTAAGCCTTTTAAACACATTGTAAGCGCTTCAGTGGGTGATTCATAGGTTGTGTTGTATCTAGTATGCTTCATATAGATTCTTCGACCAGTAAAAACTGACGAGAGAACCACCGTATAAAACATTTAGCTCTCATGAAGGTGAAGAGCACTGAAGACTCCGGAGCTAGTTCAAAACGTCATCTGGCCACAACCCAGCCTGAAACCATGGAAGGTAGAAGAACTTCGAAGGTAAAATGAAGCCATCAGAAATAACTAGCTACATATACAGAGTACTGATGAAAGTCTAGCTGAGGTCTCCTTCTAAAGAGTTAAAATAATATTTCGCACATGATGCCATCAGTACCCCCATGTTGGACTCACAGAGAGTGTAGACCCCGGATGTAGGTAGCTCGTCAAGTGAGCTCTAAGTAAGCCCAGAGTGGATGTCTCAACTAGAAGTAAACTGACAGTACTACTATATATAAGATCTCTCACCCGGCGGGTACGTAGCCGTGGAGATACAGGTTGCCGCTGCTGCCATAGGAATCACTGGAAGACTGGGCGCCCACCAGGGACACAATGGCAATGCTCAACACAGCGAGAGAGAACATTCTGGTGTTTCTATAGGAAAGAAAAGATAATTGAAAGGCAATCAAAATCGACAAGGAAAAAGAGACAAAAACAAAATATGTTAACTTGAGAAAGACAATTACGTTATTGTTTTAGGATATAACATGGACAATTAACATATTTTTATAATGCCATGCTGTTTAAATAAATACAAAACAACATACTAGTTACTTCAAATAAGGCTAGTAAAACGAATCGATGGTCGAATTCATATGGTAAAATCTAATACAACGCTGACTCTCCAGTTTACTTTCTACAATGCGCTGTAAGTCATTCATACCTAGGATGAAAGGTGTAGCACTGTCTGTTCAGTAACCTCACTGCAGTTGGTACGAATGAGTTTCTATATTTGCCTGTTCTTGCATTTTTGGAAATGCATCGTTTACTGCTGGTCGATAATTGAAATTCCGATGTAAGTGGGTGGCTATGGTCCCTTAGCATTATTTCCGCATTTTTTTTACAACGTTTGTTTCGTGCAGATATTCAAAGTTACTTCGGTCTCTACCGATTGTTCTTGATGACTTTCTGATAAACTTTTTTAAAGATGTATGGTTTGTTCAAGGTGAGTCAAATTTACTACAAAACTCTGTGTTGCTTGGACGACAACTTTAAAAATCATAGCTCTGAAATATCAAGAAAAGTCAAAACAATTACCAAATTATAATGTACACGTAAAACTAATATGACTTTTTGCTGGTACTTGCCTGATTTGCTTTCCGTTCCGCACAAGCCAACAGAGAGATCGTCCTGTCGAGTGAATGTTGTCAACCCTTGTATTTATACACCACTATATCTCAAACAATCTTTAATTACTTTTTGAATTATTAAACTTTCGTTTCGCTTGAATTTTAAACAGAGTAAATACCCTTGTTTACTGGAGTGTAATAGTATGATCAGTTTGAGAGACCCAAACATCCACTTCATAAAATATTGTTAATATTATTAAATACAGGAGATTAGAGTTCTTACATATGCTATTCATTTTAGGGGATTTGATTGCAATCGCCACTGAACACCCGCGGGGCAGTGAGTCGGGCAAAGCGTTCGGGAAAATGTCTTGATCTGGATTGTCGGGTCATTACTTCGTAATTCCGGCTTGACTTGAGGCACGCTTATGTGAGTCTGCCGCCCGAGGCAGGGCCCCGTCTTGCATCAAGAGCCTATGCTTTCTAAATATAGATAATGAAATACGGCTTATGAATTTTATGTTGTAAAAATATACCGGGGTTACGAGAGCCTTTCAATTTGTGAGCATGAGCCACAATACCGAGCGTTAGAGTCATAATAAATACGAGCTACAATGTAAACGCACCAACGACGGTATCGTTGTTGTAAACCTTGTCCAGCTTACAGAATTAAAATTTCAAGGTCCTAACCACATTTTTCTTGAGCATTTCCTGAAGTTTTCTCTCAATGCAAGGTATTCTATCATTTAACCATAGAAAGTATGATCAAATTTTGTATAAAAATATGGGCCGGGAACACAAGACAACAAGATAAAGAAAATTAAATCGTTTAAGACGGAAAGCATGTAAAATTTCAACATCTGCATTCCCCTACTAGGATGAATTCTACATAACAGCTTGCACTAAAAAATTGATTCCATTAGTTTAGACGACAAACATCCCTTGTTCCCTCAAATAAAGACATATGTCAGAAGTAAAAGACCTAGGCTTCTGATCTGTAACAAAGAAAGATACAGGAGGTAATTTTTTAACATTATCCATCAAAATTCTTTCATCTTAACCATCTTGTTATATGTATTCATATGACCTTAGTGCGTGCATCAGAATATCATTGAGTATGTATCTATCTTAAGATTATTATTGTTTATATTGCTGCTCATTTATATTGTGCAAGTGATTGTAAGCCTGGGTGTGTGTGCATGTTTGTGTGTGTGTGTGTGTGTGTGTGTGTGTGTGTGTGTGTGTGTGTGTGTGTGTGTACGTGGTGAAACACCAAACAAATGGGCCAAGATCTGGACAATAAAGATGTATCTATCTCATCTCATCTTATTTATTCCATTAGAGGGCCAAGGCCGGCTGCTTCACCTCTAAGAAAATCTACCATATACCTTAAGTCAAAGGATGAATAAGTATACAAGTTGATTCGTTCACCTCCCCCATCCCACCCCACCCCAGCCCAGCCACCAAAGAATAGGATGGGGGGGGGGGATGGTAGCAAACTGGACGCAATGAGATTTCCATTGGAGAATATATTATTATTCCGCTCTTATTGAAGGGTTCTCCTTTGGTGACTGCTTGACAGGAGAGGAGGGATGTGGTACTTTATCCGGAAACAAGGAGGTTGCCTCCCAGATCAAAGTATCTGGTTCGGTTCTGCCTTCTTGTTGGTGAAGTCGGTGGAAAACTTCAGCAGTCCTTAGATGAAGTGACAGTTAAGTGTTGTCACACACATCTTACATGCAATGTAATTCTCATTTTTGGACAGACTTCTTCGTACATGCATGTCCTGTTTGTCGTCGTCCCACTTCACAGTCTGCAAGCTACAGAACACTCAGGGAAAAAATCTCTCTCTCTCTCTCTCTCTCTCTCTCTC